CACTGACGAGCCTCCACGTTTGGGCGTACTGGACAGTTGGCAATGACATGCCCGGCGTTGCCACAATACATGCATTGGCCAGCACACATCCGGCGCTGACGCTCCTCCGGAGAGAGTCTAGCACTTCCCAGTTGCATAGCCTCCTTGTGAGAAGAGGTGCGCACGTTGGGCGGCGAGAGGACGGAAGGAGACTTAAACACAGAGGGAACAGGGTAGCTGGAAAAACTGGGGTTACTGTGTGAGACTGGTGGATTCCGCTGTGTCTGCTCAGCTCGACGCTCCCGCAAACGACAGTCCAGGCGGGACACCAAGGAAATCAGATCTGGGAGATCCGCTGGAACGTCTCATGATGCCAATTCATCCCAGAGCTGATCCTTTAATCCTCTCAAAAAAAACGCATTGAGAGCCGCCTCGTCCCATCGAGCCTCTGCAGCGATTGTGTGAAACTCGATGGAATACTCAGCAACAGTCCGGTTTCCTTGTTGTAAACTGAGCAGCTGATTTGCGGCGGAGCCAGAATAATTGGGATGATCAAGAACAGCAGAAAACTGATTTGAGAAACTCTCAAAACGCAGGGAGTCATAATCCACCGATGAGCTCAAAGCCTCTGCCCAGGTTAAAGCCTTGCCACGGGGCAAACTCAGAATATAATTAATCCTGGTGACATCAACTGCAAACGAAACAGGACGCTGGCGAAAAACCTTGTTGCACTGAAAAATAAATCCTCTGCATTTCTCCACTTCTCAGTGGAATGGCTCAGGGTCGGTGATGGGGAAATCCTGGTGTGGAGTAGGAAAAGGAGCTGGATTGGGAGTGGCACGAGAAGCAGCAGCCGAGGTAGTGAGAGCTGAGATCTGGCAAGCTAACTCAGAGACATGATGAGCAATGGATTGATTACTCTCGACTAACGCCCGGATGAGCTGGTCGTGTTGACCCAGAAGGGAACCCTGACTAGACAGGGCATGATGGACTGTGGCGGGATCCGCTCCAGTATATGCGGGGTTCATTGTTGGCCAGTTTTTCTGTTAGGCTTCACGTGAAGTGACTGGAGATGAGAACCCACTGCTCAAGCACTTAGACAGATACAGTGTCAAAAAATAGGCTTTATTTGACCCCGGCACAGGCAAGGTGTAGACGAGGAGCTCAGAGAAGGGAGACGAGGAGCAAGACAGAACGGGGGGAGGCTGGACGTGGCAGGCAGAGGCAGGCAGAGCGGCAGGTGTGTGTGGATCTGGAAACAGGAAAGAAGCAGGGTTAGGAAGGTATATCCTCTCACTAGGAGCATCAAAAAAGTTACTAGGAAAAATGCTAGTTGGCCTGGACGATAGTTTACCACTGATGAATAAACGAAGAACTGGCAAAGACTGAGGATGGGAACCAGGGTTTTAAGCAGGTGCACGTGAGTAGTGGCAATCAGTGAGATGAACAACAGCAGCGGAGGTGAGTTGGCGGGAATCAGAATGTAGGACAGCCACGCCCAGCCAGGAAGACAGATGGACAAAAACAAATACAGAAGGGGGAAAGAAGGAGGAAGCACTTTAGATCCTCACAATGCCTCCCCCCCCCCCCTCAACGGGAGCCTCCTGGCGACCACCAGGCTTGTCTGGATGTGCCCTGTGAAAGGCCCTTATCATAACGGGGTCAAGGACTCGGGAACGAGGGACCCAGCATCGCTCCTCGAGGCCGTAACCCTCCCATTCCACCAGATACTGTAAGCCCCTGCCCCGGCGCCTGACGTCCATGAGACGGTGCACAGTGTAGGCAGGATGGTCATCGATGATTCGGGGGGGAAGAGGGGGAACGGTTGGAGGGCTCAGGTCGCTGGTGTGAACAGGCTTAACCTGGGACACATGAAAAGTGGGATGGATTCTCAATTCTCAATGTTCTGGGAGGCTTCAGCAGGACTGCAGAGGGGTTAATAATCCTTTGAATGGAGAAGGGACCAATTAAGCGTGGGGACATCTTTTTAGATTCAGTGAGGAGAGGAATGTTCCTGGAAGATAACCAGACAGACTGACCTGGGACGTAAGGAGGGGCAGCTGCTCTTTGGCGGTTGGCTGAACCGAGCTGAAGTCAGGAGAAGAGCAGAGCGAGTGTCTCTCCAGATCTTCTGACAACGACGAACATGCTGCTGGACCGAGGGGACTGCTAGTTCTCTTTCCTCTTCGGGGAACAGGGGCGGCTGGTACCCTAAAGAGGCTTCAAACGGGGAGAGACCAGTAGCAGAACAGGTTAGGGCATTTTGTGAGTACTCAACCCAGGGAAGATGGGAGCTCCAGGTAGAGGGGTTACAGTCAATGATGCAGCGGAGGGCTGATTCCAGGTCCTGGTTGGTTTGCTCAGTTTGGCCGTTTGACTGGGGATGATAACCGGATGTTAAACTGACAGAAGCACCAAGAGACTGACAGAACTCCTTCCAAACTCGAGAGGTGAATTGAGGACCGTGGTCAGAGACTATGTCGGAAGGGATTCCATGCAGCCGGAAAACGTATACAGAGAGGAGTTGGGAGGTCTCCAGGGCTGAAGGGAGCTTAGGAAGAGCTACAAAATGGGCAGATTTAGAGAACCTGTCAACAATGGTGAGAATTGTGGTGTTACCCTGGGAGGGAGGCAGGCCGGTAACAAAGTCCAAGGCGATATGTGACCAGGGACGAATAGGGATGCAGAGGCTGGAGCAACCCTGCAGGTGTTTGGTGGGAGGACTTACTCTAGCATACGTGGGACAGAAAGAAACAAACTCCTGAGTGTCCCTATTGACAGTTGGCCAAAAGAAGTGCCTCTTAAGAAAGGAGCGTGTGCGGTTTACTCCGGGATGGATGGAGAACCGGGAACTGTGGACCCACTGTAGGACCTTGGAGCGGGCAGCATCGGGAACAAACTGGTGGTTCAGAGGACCTTTACCCGGGTCTGGTTGCTCTCTCAAAGCCTCCTGGATGGTGTTATTAATCTCCCAAGAGAGGGCGCCTACAACAAAACTCTTGGGCAGGATAGAAACAGCAGAGGGCTCGGGAGAGTCAGGAGAGTACAGTCTGGATAGAGCATCGGGCTTTACATTCCGGGAACCTGGACGGTATGTGAGACAAAAGTTGAAACGACTAAAGAGAGCCCACCTGGCCTGTCGGGAGTTTAGCCGTTTTGCTGACTGGATGTAGGCAAGTTTCTCCTGGTCCGTCCAGACCAGGAATGGCTGCTTGCTGCCCTCGAGCCAGTGTCTCCACTCCTCTAATGCCAACTTTACTGCCAGTAGTTCCCTGTTTCCAACATCATAATTGCGCTCCATTAGAGGAGTGGAGACACTGGCTCGAGGGCAGCAAGCAGCCATTCCTGGNACTGGGAAGTGCTAGACTCTCTCCGGAGGAGCGTCAGCGCCGGATGTGTGCTGGCCAATGCATGTATTGTGGCAACGCTGGGCATTTCATTGCCAATTGTCCAGTACGCCCAAACATGGGAGCTCATCAGTGAGATTGGGGGTCCTGACGAGTCCACAGCCATCAT